GAGGAAGGACTCCTTTCTGACCCCGGGACCAGTCGAGTCAACCAGGCCGACCGCCTGGAGTCATTCGCAGGGAGAACCTGTCTGGAGAACAAGCTCCAGAGACGGCCCCCCCCACAGCTGACTTCAATCTCCTGGTACCCCACACGGCAGAACACAAAGGAAAGGTGACCACTATGTTTTGGCGAAACACACACACAGGTGCTCAGGCCTGGATTTGATTTTTATCTTTGTAGGAAATTTGGTAAGCTAAGCGTCCTTATTTACCTTAACCTAGCTAAGAAGCCTTAGTTAAAAACAACTAGAGCTAAACAGCTTATACAAACACACACTCCCTAATTCAGAACCCTAAACACTCCTCAGTGTTTAATTTTTGTTTACATGTTTGTTTGTTTTTTTGTCTGTCTGTTCGTCCTTTAATTTGTGATAACAAACTCCCTCAGTTTATCTGGTTCAAATCTGTCATTATATACATTCATTGCTTGCCATAGGTTGTACATACATGTTAATCTGTAAATAAATGGCTTGTGGAGAACTTGCCAATTTGAACTAATCTCAATTTTCTTTGTGTCTTGATGAGAAATACCGGCCTTGATAAGAGAAGAACTCAAAGAGGGTTAAATATATTCTGAGACTGATTACAATAAAGTTACAGTTTTTCATTTCTTTCCTGGGTCAGTATCTGATCAAATTAAGAAATGTGGTGCTCCGAGGTAAAGATATAATTAAATATAGCATATGTAAATATGATGTATTTAATTATATCCACAAATTATCTAGTTCAGAATTCTAAACTTTAAATTACCCTACACATTTTAAAAATTCCCATTTATTTATGTAATCTTTGACTGAGTGGTCAGCTTCTACATCTTTAATATTTTTTCTAATTCTAATACAATAGTCTTCATTGTCTAATAAGCTAGCATTTAATTTCCAATAACCTTTATGTTTTTTTGTCTTAAAACTGGGTCCCATTATTGTATGTGGGGCTGCTGCGTGTGGTCGCTGGTGGGGTTCTCCCGGGTCTCCCCTATGGTTTGACCTGGGTGTGTGTGTGCTGCTCTCCTCGCGTAGGTGTACCTGGGGGCCCGGTGCTTGTGGTTCCTCCTGAGGTCTTTGGCTCTGTCCTCCCCTTATGTCTGCCTCGTGCCTTGGGGATCGGCTCTGAGACTCCCCCACAGTCACTATTATATATTCCGTTGGAGAAATCCTGTAAATTTTTGCTTGCTCACAACCACACGCAGACAGATGTTCAGATCCGAGGGGTTCTGAATGATCACCAGGTATATATAGGTGGGTGTTTGTTTATCTGTTTAAATGTATATATGTATGCTTTTGCTAAGTTTTGTAACTTTAATTCTTTGCAGGTGTGCAGACAGATGTTGGATGTATTGAATTGTTTTCTTGACGTATATCTCACATATCATCGATTCTTTCTTTCACTTATTTCCATTACGTTGTAACTTTTTCCTTTCCTTCTTTTGTCCTTTCTCTCTTCTTCTTTCTTGTCTAACAAAAATAAATAAATAAATTAAAATAAAACCACTGATGATGAAGAAGCTAAGATACTAATATTCAGATATTTAGTACTGCTTTCTACTGAAGTGGTAAAAAAAATCTCATACAGCTCATCCAGGGCTTGGGTTTTAGCAGCCTGGGGTGGGATATAAACCAACAAATATATAATATAAACTGGATCCTACACTTCCCATATACAAGATAATGTAGATAAATACACCTTGTGACCCACGTTTCATACCAGCTGGTGGCAGTAATGCACCAGTTTAGTTTTGTTCCAAACATGATTGAAATTAGGAAAAGGAAGAGAACCTCCTGACTCCAGATCAGCAGCACCTGCAGACAATCAGTTTATTGCGCTGTGATTGGCTGCAGGTTCTAACAAATGCCAAATCACTGTTGTGAACACATACACAGCTAGTAGCCTTCTGTTGTGTTGAGACTCAGAAATGACTTGTGGACTTAGTTTGGGGTGAGTGTTTGCAGCTGCTTCCATTGAAATGTTCACTTGTTGACCTGACTTTGTTGTTTTGTTTCCTGAACAGAATCTTGGAGGTTGTGTTTGTTCAAGCAGAGCTTGTATGTTGTTTGTGGACTAAAGGAGGTAAGAAGAGAAGTCGGTCTTCTGTTGGTCCAATGTCCTGCCTCAGTACACTCATGTTGTGTCTTGTTGTCCTGCAGCTCAGAATATCCAGAACAGCAACACACATGTTGGCTTCCCACCACCAGATGGCAGATGGCTGAAATCTGTCAGCTATCCCCAGAATCAAGTCACAAGGCTTTGTTTCTCTATACTCAGTCCAGAGCAGTAGGTGAGCTGACGTACTGATTATTTTATCCTTCAACACAACTAAGCTTTTTCCTTATTAAACAACATTAGTCTCATAATAACAGGACTTTATTCTGGTAAAACTATTGTAATACTGTGACTTCATTCCTGTATTTAAAAATAAAAAAATCATTTTAGCTTGACCCTAATTCGTTGTCGTACATTTACTTAGAAAATATCCCAAAATCTGTTAAGGTTTGAGCAGGAATGAACTCAGATCCAGATGCAGGATGATGTTTTTCTAAAAAGGTTTATTTAACAAAATGGAACAAAAGCTGACAGGGTAGCAAAAACAAAAGGAATTCAAAAGGTACAGGGGAACAACAAGGAGACCATAACAGGAGGTAAAAACCAAATGAACCAGTGAGTGTGTGGAAAGCTGGACCAGAATACAAACAGAAGAAATGAGGAAATGAACAACAGCTGGGAAGAGGACTGATTGGGAACCACTAAGTAGGTGAGGATGATGATTGAACAGGTAAACAGACTGAGGAGAATGTGTAATGATGCAAGGAGGACATAAGAGGGATGACAAACACACATCCTCACAAAATCAGTGGTGGGCACAGTTCCCCTAAAGCACAAAAACACTAATAGGGGAACTAGTTTTCTGACTAGTGCTTTAGGGCTTTTGCTAATTTTAACATTTATTAGTAGATTAGCACTTGCTAAATTTATAGGCTATATTTAGAAAAACTGAGGTCTATAAATGTGATCAACGTGAGGGTGAAAGCTGTCGCACATTTTGTTCATTTGTGTCACTTATCCACCAGGTGATAATATATGAACTCAAACAGCTGTGGAATGTGAATGATAAGTATTAAGAGAGCAACTGACAACATGTGACTCATGTTGTCTGTTGAAGAATTGTTTATAGGTTGACTGGGTTATTTTAGTGCTTTAGAATTAGCTTTTGCTGAAACTTTCAGTGCATTAGTGCTTTAGAATTAGGGGATCTAAATATGTGAGTTTATGTTTTCGTGGAACTAATTTTTAGGTTAGTGCTGCCCACCACTGCCCAAAACAAACATACAAACAAACAAAAAGAACAAAAAAAATGCAGGTCTAATTCCAAGCAACTAACCACATCTAAATGTTATTTTTCACCAAAAGCTCAGCAAAGAATTGCTTTTTCAGCTGCAACATTTTCACGTGAGAAAATTTTGATCCACATGTTGACGTTTGTCTTCATGCTGGACGGTGAGGGCAGCACATGCTCCCAAGTTGTCACAGAAGACAAATGCAGATTTAAAAAAAGCACACAGGCCAGTATGTCCCTTTCTGGTTGTCCGCAGGTGTCCAGGTAATCTGTGTCCCATGGCTGTGATAATGGCAGTAAGCCAGGTATATAACTCTGTAAGGAGCTTGTGTCAAAGTAAAGCCTGTCACTTACTGATCGATGACACTGCAAACTGCTGCTGAAGTAAGGGAGATGGGATTATAATTAAAATGCTGACATATAATGCGGGGGGAATATACACAATTAGTTCTGCGATCATCTCTGAGGTGCTGATAAAAACAGCCCAGGATCAGCAGCTTCACAATATTTGCCTTTTTTATTTTTAGGAAAACATATTGATGCTGAGAATCCTAACAGGTCCTTTATAATTTCCTGGAAGCTCTTTTTATAGCTAATTGAAGACTGACTCTTTGAAAAAAGGGCCAACAGTTCCAACAGAGTGCAACATTCAGCCACACAGGTGCCCTCAACACCCCCAGCTTTGTTTAAAATATTTTTAATTTTAGATGCATGACGTATAACAGAGCAGAAAGTGATTCAAGTAATACACAAAAGCAATTACTTACATGACACAGAGGCCGTTTTGCCTTTTTCATATAAACACTTTTAAATGCACTCATTTGTCCAAACAAGCTTTACATTAAAATAATTCATAAAATCAAAATAAAAAGAAAAATAATTATCAGAAAATATTACTGTATGAAATAGCTAAACCTGAACTGGTGTGTAAGAAATAAAACATGATTTTTATAAACTAATGCATGCATAACTCATCGGAAGAAACATATCTGTTTCTGCTTCTCCATTTTTATCATTTACAAATGATTTAAAAAAAAACATAGATACCTTTTTAACATCAGGGATAGTTGGGGTCAACTTTAAGTAAAGTTCATTTCACATTCAATTGGGAAAAGATACAATTAAAAAAAACCTTTAAGTAAAATATGTGTAATTATTTGTGTTTTTACAGAAAAAATAGAAACCAAACGGGAAAAAATGTCTATGTGGAAAAAGAAGCACAAATGCTAATTCCTATTTAATAATTAGATAAATCACTTTCAAGACCAGATTCTCCCTCCTAGGTTTTCCTACAGATTATTAAAAAATATTAAACAGAACACATTTAGAATTTATGTTTCTCCTATTAAGATTAAATGAGCATCTGACTGTTCCTCCATTTCTCTAAAAGAATGTTTTAAAGTACAACAGAGAGGCTTGTTTACTTCAATGATGGTAATTTTTGCTAATTATTCTGAGTTCAGGGCACAAACTAACTGTTAAAGTTCAGAAGCAAAAAAGGTACAAATTCTGAAGACATAAATAATCAGATTTGCTAAAAAATAATTGTCACTAATTTGGATGAAATTAAAGTCAGTTAAGCTAAGGCAACGACCCTGTTGTCCTAGCTTAATTATATGTTCCCCTTATTTTTATTCACTGAAAAATACAGTGGGTAAAATAAGTATTGAACATGTCAACATTTTTCTCAGTAAATATATTACTAGAGGTGCTAATGACATGAAATTTTCACCAGATGTCGGTAACAACCCAAGTGATCCATACATACAAAGAAATCAAACATAAATGTCCAGAAATGAAGTTATTTGTAATAATGTGGAATGGCACAGGGAAAAAGTATTGAACACATGAAGAAAGGGAGGTGTAAAAAGGCATGGAAAGACAAGACACCAGCTGAACTCTCTCAGTAATTAGAAAGCAAGCCTGCCCCTTGTCAGTGCAAATTATTATCAGCTGGTTCAGCCCCAAATGATGGCCAGGTATCACACAAGAACCATCTGATGATGGGTAAAAGTAAAGAGCTCTCTCAAGACCTTCACAACCTTATTGTTGCAAAGCATAATGATGGCATCGGTTACAGAAGAATGTCTAAACTTCTGAAGGTTCCAGTGAGCACTGTTGGGGCCATAATTCAGAAGTGGAAAGAACATTATTTCACCATAAACCGACCACGACCAGGTGCTCCTCACAAGATTTCTGACAGAGGAGTGAAAAGAATTATCAGAAGAGTTGTCCAAGAGCCAAGGACCACTTGTGGAGAGCTTCAGAAAGACCTGGAATTAGCAGGTACGTTTGTTTCAAAGAAAACAATAAGTAATGCACTGAACCACCATGGCCTGTATGCACGCTCACCACGCAAGACTCCACTGCTGAAGAAACAGCATGTTGAAGCTCCTTTAAAGTTTGCTGCACAACATTTAAACAAGCCTGTGTAATACTGGGAGAATATAGTCTGGTCAGATGAGACCAACATTGAACTGTTTGGATGCCAGAATACACATCATGTTTGGAGGTCAAATGGCACTGCACATCAGCCCAAAAACACCATACCAACAGTGAAGTTTGGAGGTGGGAACATCATGGTGTGGGGCTGTTTTTCAGCATATGGTACTGGCAAACTTCAAATAATTGAAGGAAGGATGAGTGGAAAAATGTACAGAGACATTCTTGATAAAAATCTGCTTCCATCTACCAGGATGATGAAGATGAAACGTGGCTGGACATTTCAGCAAGACAATGAGCCCAAACACAAAGTCAAGGAAACTCTCAGTTGGTTTCAGAGAAAGAAACTAAAGCTGCTGGAATGGCCCAGCCARTCACCTGACCTGAATCCAACAGAAAATCTATGGAAAGAACTAAAGATCAGAGTTCATAGAAGAGGTCCACGAAACCTTCAAGATTTGAAGACTTGTTTGTGTGGAAGAATGGGCCAAAATCACACCTGAGCAATGCATGCCACTAGTTTCTCCATACAGGAGGCATCTTGAAGCTGTCATTGACAACAAAGGCTTTTGTACAAAGTATTAGATAAATTTCAGTAAGTGTGTTCAATACTTTTTCCCTGTGCCATTCCACATTATTACAAATAACTTCATTTCTGGACATTTATGGTTTGATTTCTTTGTATGTATGGATCACTTGGGTTGTTACCGACATCTGGTGAAAATTTCATGTCATTAGCACCTCTAGTAATATATTTACTGAGAAAAATGGTGACGTGTTCAATACTTATTTTACCCGCTGTATATGACTTGTACAATTTACTAATCCCTGTAACAATTTGCACTTTTCAAGTAAATTTTACTTGATGTGTAACAATTTGTCTCAGTCCAAATAGCCCTAACCTGCCTGGAAATTACTGTTTTTGGATATGAATGTGAATATTTTGCCATAAATCCTGACAAGAAGGTGCTAATCACACCAAATTTGAAGTCAATAAATTATGGTTACATCCATCCAACCATTATCTTTTACCTGCTTCTTCCTTTCAGGGTCACAGGGGTCACTAGTACTCATGTCCAGCAGTCAATGAGGGGCGGGGTACACTTTGGACAGGTTGCAAGTCCATCACAGGTCCACACATAGAGACAAATCATTTACTCTCTCACTCACACAGGAACAATTTAGAGTTACCAATTCACCTAACAGTGTTGTTTTTGGTCCTTGGGAGAAAGCTGGAGTATCCAGAGGAAATCTGCACATGGAGAACATGCAAACCCCAGAGAAGACCCTGGGCCGGGATTCAGTCTGGGAGGCAACAACTTTACCAACTGAGCCACCGTGCCGCCCATTCACAATGATTTTTATTTGAGACAAGTTTCTTTAAATGGACAGCCAATAAATTATATTTACACATTCACAATAATGTTACTGTTACCATTTCATCATCTTTTACTTTCCCCACAAGACGAGTCAGTCTGACCAATCATGCTCTTGCCAAACTCTGCCCAGATACCAAGAAACTCCCCTGAAGAGACCCCTACTTGTCAAACGGCAGCCCACTGCTCCACATGTTCCCAAATGTGTCAAATAACTTCCCGTCTAATAAAGATGATTAAAATTAAGTAAATAAAATATTGCCATATTTTACTTAATTTCTTTACATAAATGTGACTTCAGTTGCTTGAGTAACAATTATTCAATAAATTCACAACTATGTCCATTTTATTTAATCCTGATGAGTAAATTGTTACTTGAAATGTGCTAGTGCAAATTGTTCTGAGGATAGTAAATTTGACAAGCTTTTTTTTCAGTGTTGGCAATTTAGTAACACTTTAAAACTAATCAACCTAAACATACAAACATTTTCTTAAAGGACAAAAAAATGCAAAAAAATAAATGTAATTTCTTTAGTTACACATACTTTTATTGAATAATAAATAGTTTGACAATCTTCAAAATGTAACATTTTGTTTTACTTTTTGAAAAAAAAAGAAGAAAAAAAACTACAGTACATGAGCACATTGTTTCACCATCCCATAAACAAATTACAGCCATGAAATAATACCCGCAAACATGGACTGTGACTGCAGACATGCGTGAACCTGATTCTCACTGCGCACAATCAGAAACCATGTTTTTTTTAAATTAACCTCCATCCATAACTGGACTCGTGATCTTTTACGAAAAAGTGTCAAAGATATTTAGTCCATGAGCTGTTTTACATTCAAACTTTGTCAAAGAAAACCAATGTTAACATGATTTTTTAACAACTAATGTAAAGAAAACTTATGTTAAACAAGAAAAATGCAACAGAGAATGCTAAATTTGTTGTTTGTCAGAGGTTCAAAAATCAAAATCCAGGGAGAGAATCTGTTCTAGCTGTAAAAGTAGCTAAAAGCAGACAGAGCCTCGTTCTTTAGCTCATTAGATTTTGTGAAAAATCCAGATATGATGATGTAAGCAGATATAATAAAAAGCTTAGGAAATTTACTACTGTTTTGTATTATTGCACTATAACATGAGTGGGATAAACATTTGTTGCTGCCAAATGTGTCCTTCAACACAAAACAAATTTTTATTAATGAACATTTTCTGTCTACAACATTGCTTTCTTACCTGGTTTCATTGAAAGTTCATAAATCACGATGGTTGGTTGATTGGCAGTTTTGTTATCCTTTGGGATTTTAAACAACAAAAACAAGCCCCAACCAAAGCGACCACCCTAACTTCGTTGCTTCCACGAGTGGCAACAGTTCTCCATGCACTGTCATCCAGTCCTTTAGTTAAAAATAAAAAGTCTCTTGCAGCATCAGCTTCCATTGTGGAGTTGCCTTCATCAGACAGGGCAACAAAACGTCGCCGCAAAGAGAGTCTGCTCGCTGCTTGGCCCGGCGTTGGTAATAAAAGTACAGACCTGTTTGTCTCTGTCAGAAAGTTGCGATGCAACAGCTTGAACCAGCAAAAAGTCCATTTACATCACAGCTCCTGTGTAATCTATATGAACAACATGTGTATGTGTGTGCGCACAGTGCAGGATCTATCGTGAGCATGTGAGAAACATAACAGGCTTATTGCACTCTTATAGTAAATCTGAGCATTCGGTCAGGTGTCCCTCTCAGACGCTGACAGGACACACCAGAACTTTGTCCTCCAGCATGACGCTGATGACCAGGAAGACAAAGTAGAGCAAGAACATGAGGAAGCCCAGAACCTTACTCATTTTCCACTTGCAAGCCGCGATGGATATAATGACAAAGAGGAGCATGAGGAAGAGGAGGACGATGGCACAGAACAGGCCGTTGCTGCTCACCTCCACAGCCTTGAAGTCATGGATGATGTTGTAGATGAGCCATGGGAATGGCAGGCTGCAGACAGAACCACAACAGAGGAGTTAGCTCATTTTTTCTTGTATCTGAACATAAAATAACCCTAACAGCTCTTTTTAATTGATTCGTTTCCCATCCAAGTCATCTCAACTTTGCCATGCTTCTCCTCCTGCATACTTTGTCCTAGAGCTGCCATTGTAATTTATATCTGTAAAGCCCCTGTGCCAAATGATGACTATGCCTTTTGGTGCCTGTGAAACTTACAGTTTTTGAAATATTAATGTTTAATAAATTATAATGGCAGTCAGTGGAGCCTTTAATTGGTCCAATACTGCCCCCTGCTGCTTCTACACAATATGGTACTGCACAATAGTTTTATAATATTTAAACTCAGTAGTTCAGTGATTACAATATTAATATAATTGTATTTTGATGTTTTACTGTAATACTGTCTTTATGTTGTCCTATTGCTGTAATATATTGCACTTAAGTGTCAATAATTGCATTGGCAAGGTAAACGTTTTCAGTATACATACAATCCAATCCCTGGGATTGTCCTCTGCCACAGCTCCTTTAGTCTCATGATGAGCACTGTGGGCTTTCATGCGGGAGATCAGGTTTCAAATCCAGCTACTGCAACTTTAACAAAAATCTCTTCAAACTTCATATTGTCACACAATTACCTTAATTACAAACACCTGCTGATGTGACATGCACAAGCTGGTATAGAAAACACATTTGAACTTGGTCAAAGTTCATTCTGAAAGTCCAATGCTCCTGCATACATTGTCCTACAGCTGCCATTGTAATTTCTCTCTGTAACGGTCCTGTGCCAAATGATTGCTATGCCTTTTTGTACCTGTACAACTTGTAGTTTTTGAAATATTAATGTTTCAACTTTATTCCAAATTCATGTAATGAGAGTCAATGGGGCCTTGTAATTGTCCAATACTGCCCCCAGCTGTATTCAACTTGGTACTGCACCATAGTTTTTTATATTTAATCTCAATAGTTCAGTGTTTACAATACTAATATGATTGTATTTGATGTTTTACTATAATATTGTCTTAATACTGCTCTATTGATGTAATATTATGCATTTTTGTGTCAATAATTGTATTGGCAATGTGGCCTCTTTTTGCACACATACAAACCAACCCCTGCCATCACCTTCTTCCACAGCTCCATTAGTCTAATGGTCTATGTCATGATCTCTCATGTGGGAGATCAGGGTTCAAAATCCAGCTATTGCAAAAAATCTATCTCTTCAAACTTCATATTGTCACACAATTACCTTAATTACAAACACCTGCTGACGTGACAGGCACAAGCTGGTATAGAAAACACATTTGAATGTGGTCAAAGTTCATTCTGCAAGTCCAATGCTGCATGCAATGACATGCTACATGGCAATGCACACTTGTTTTTACATCGTAAAAACCCAAGTTTAGTTCTATCTAATTATTCACATCAAGTGTAAAAACCCCATTAGAATCCACCACGTCGGTAAAACTGATATTTTTCTTAACTCCTCGTCTGTTTTAGAAATGCCAAATGATTTTAATTTATTTCATAATCGTTTTTAGTATTAAGGATTTTACAGAAGAGCTCTCTGGTTTTAGAAATGTGTCTTTTAGTCCCACAGTATGTGTTGAAAGTGTATTTAACACTTTTCAGAAGACCAAAGAAAGGAAGAGCCCTGGACCTGATGGCATTGGGGGGTCGTATTTTTAAGAACTGTGCCCTGCAATTGGCAGATATCTTTTGCTTTCCTTTTAATATGTCTCTCCAAACATGTACTGTAAGGTCCCCCAGCTGTGGAAACACTCTGTTATTGTTCCAGTTCCAAAGACAAAAACTGCTCAGTCTCTGAATGACTTCAGGCCTGTTGCCCTCACTTCCCAAGTAATGAAGTCATTTGAAAAACGTGTTAGGGAAGTGCTCTTGGCTGAAGTTAAGAAACATTTGGACCCACTTCAGTTTGCATATCGTGCATGCAGAGAGGTGGAGGACGCAACAGGAACTCTTTTAAATGTGATTTTAAAACATTTAGAAGGCACAAAAACTTTTGTGTTACTGCTTTTTATTGATTTTTCTTCTGTTTTTAACTGTTTCCAACCCCACATTTTAGCAGAGAAACTAAAACGTTCTTATGGTCTGGATCCAGGTCAACCAGTGACTGTGGAGCTCTCAAATGCCCGATCTCCCATTGTCCTTTAAGTCCCAGCACAACATTTCAGTCAAAATGTGATCTGGGCTTTGATTGGATTACAGCACCACCTTGATTCTTTTCATTTTCAGCCATTTTGTTGTACATTTACTGCTGTGTTAGGAACGACTGTCACAACTGCCGAACAGATGGCTTCACATTTGACTCCAGAAACTTTGGTTTCCAGAAAAGTTTGTGGTTGACTCAATGGCTCAAAGTGCCCAGGTCCAGTGGCTTCAAAACAAGCTCAAACCATCATTCCACCACCACCATGCTTTGTGCTGATGTGCTGTTTGATTTTTGCCAAACGTGCTGCTGAGCGTTGTGTGTGTAAACATCTCTACTATAGTCTTCATCAGTCCAAAGAGCATCGTTCCTGAGCTTTATTCAGATAAAACATTGCAAACATAAATCCAGCTGCTATAGCTTTTTTTAGCAAGAGAAAAACTTACGATCCTTCCAAACAAACCACTTGTTTAGCTCTTTTTTAATTGTTCTGTAAATTCAGTAGTGAATAATCTTTCTCCGTGTTGAATGATGAACTCCGTAGTGTTTGGAAATGACCCACTGGGCAAAGTATTTCTAATTTCTAATTAGAAATACTTTGTTACTGTACTTAAGTAGAATCACAGCTGTTTGGTGGTCCAGATGGGATTTGCCTGAGGTGGTCTATGCCTGGGCCAGCACCACTAAAGCCAAACCACAACCAAGCCAGTTGTGACATGTCATCTTAAAACAGTGCAATCATTGACTCACATCTGGTTGACACCACTTGCCATGCCAGCAGTCCAACGCATTCCCACTCCCAACAATGATGCTTGGTTCAGGTTCCCTCTGCGTTTTGACGCATTGGGTACCCCACTCGCATCAGTTATTGACAAGATGAGAACAAGGAGGAGGAGCCTGTTGTCATATTTTTGAAAAGTGCAGGAAATGTGTAACAACTAACTGTAATCCATCTAACCATGACCCCAAACCCTAAACATAACTTCTATTAACCCTGAATATCCAATCCCTGACTTAACCTAACCAGTAACCCTGATCCCTAAACTTAACCATGGACCCCAACCCAAAGACCCTATCAGCCCATCAATAACTGACTGAAATCCGGACACAGAGGGAACCTGACCAAGCATCAATATGTGATGAGTAGGGAGTGAGAATGTGTTGATCAGTCAGCCAGCAGTGCCCACACCTGTCTGCTATGTGGGGATCTTTAGCTCTTCCCAGATAGAGGTAATTGCTGACGTCTTTCCACCTTTGCACGGTGTTAACACACACGTAGACCAGTAAAATGCCAAAACATGTATCTGTTGTGTGTTTTTTTTGCATTTTGAGGTAAGATCTAAATTGTTTTAGAGCCTGGGAAAAACTATTTTTTACTGTGTAAGTAAAACCTAAAGGCTGAAAGAGGGTGAGCTTCTTTGCCACATGACTCTTTGTGATGTTCACCGGTGGACTCACCCCACAGTGATATCAAAGATGTTGGAGCCCACTGAGCTGGACACGGCCATGTCTCCGAGGCCTTTCCGTGCCACAATCACACTGGTGATCAGGTCAGGGATGGAGGTGCCAGCTGCTAAAATGGTCAAACCCATGATCTCCTCTGTGATCCAGAAAGTCTCTCCAACCTGTAAAGAAACAAAGTGTGGAAAGTTGTTTAAAATCAGAAAACATGCAAATAAAATAAAATAAAATAAAAGCACTATCAGTGCTTGGAATGAACAAGGTGTGCCTCACAGTTTTGTTCTAGGACCACTTTTGTTTGCACTTTATCAGAATATAATAATCAACTGTCTGTCCGGCTCTAAACTGTGAGTGTGTTGTCAGGCACCTGGTGAGCCCACCACACCATCAGATAGGAGAAGAAAGCAATCCAACAGATGGACCCGAGGAAAGTGATGGGAAAGAATCTTTCAGAGCTCTGAAAGAAATCAAAAGCAGCATCTCAGTCACACAAACAACCTTGGTAATAATCTCCCACATTCCTCCCAGGATGTTTGTTCCATGGATCCAGAAAAAACATACTTAAAACTAGAGGTGTCCCAGTACCAATACTGAAATCAGTAGAGGGCCCAATACCAGCATTTTTCAAATACTTATACAAAATTCCACAATACCAATACCAGTATCAGTGCTTGAAGTCACTGTGTAATGTTTAGGTTTCAACTTAATAACTACTCAGTATCAGAGTACCCAAGCTGAGGTACTTGTTGGAGAACAATTGGTCTGAGGACACGCCTACTTCAAACATTTTTAAATGATTCAAAATGTGCACATTCAGACGTGATCAATATTAGCTTTTGAACTATTTAGTCCAAAGCACAGCTGGACTTTGCTGTCATTAATCACAGTTTTCCATTTTCTTCTTTTTTAGTTACTGTTCGTTAAATTGTTTCTTCTTTTTATTTTATATTGAAAAACAATATTCTTCAATTGTTGAGCTCCTTATTTGCAGTTTTGAATAAGAATTTCCTCCTTTTTATATGAAAAAATATTTCATTTAAAAAACATTTTGACCAGCTGTCAGGCACTTATTACTGTTTTTTGTTAGCTTTATATAATCTTTCTCTCCACCATCCCAACGTTTTACAAGCACGAGGCAAAAATCCTGATGGCATCAAATTTTAAACAAATATCTAAAAAATGGGTTGGTTTTAACATTCAAATCTTTTTTAATGTGTTTGTGCTCTAATCTATAAAATGTTAAGTTTAAAAATAAAAGTGCCTCATGTTTTTATTTCATTTTACACAAAGTCTCAGCAACTTGAGAAAAATAGTTGCTTAACCTCTTGAGCAACACAAGTTTTTTTTTCATTTTCTATTTCTTTTTTTAACTTAAGCTCTGCCTGTTTAACCTGGACATGTTTGGTATCAAAAGAAAGCTAAGAATCTTGGCTAAAAGCTCATGGAAACTATTTTTACATTCACTGAACACAGTTCAAACATCCAGCAGTTGAATCAGAAAGTAAACAAACTGCACAAAATGTCATCATTGCAAATCTGTAAATACATACAAGGAAATCTGTAAAGGAAAAAAATATCATTTTTTTAAAGCAAGTCAAAGTAGATACCTAAATATGTTGTAAAGTGTTGAAAGTTTTTTTTTTCACTTGATTTTGAGTGAATATGATTCAACTGAAGTCAAACATTATTTCTCATTATTTTATATAATATATATGGTGACAAATATATGTTTGGATAATTTTTCAAAAGATCAAACATTCAATAACAAGTCCTTTCAGTCAGGTAAGAATAAATAAATAACTTTTGAAAGTAAAAACTTCAGATTGCATAACATTTAATAATGGTACATTACCTTTATGGTCTGTCCTGCGCAGAATGTCAAAATTATTTATTTATTAAAACCTCTGTAAGTTTGGTCCAGATTATTTTAGCAGCATGAATCACAGGTAATGTCCACAAGTGGATTTATGGTTTCCAAGACCTTTTAGCCTGATTCATTATGGTTTTAAATGGGTTATATACTGTCTAATGAAAAAATAATTCAGTTGAGAGTGAAATTTTTTTTTAAAGAAATTATGTTCCATCCCCAATATCTCTAAAACCACAGCAGCCGTTTGAATCCTTACACTTCTGATGAAATCTTCCAAGTGTTAGCTTTATTTTGATACCAAGATTATTTAGTTTGTAAAGGCTGAGATACACTCAATTACATTTTGGCATGGTATTTTGAGGAAAAACCTTAAGAAACCCCATTGGGACTTAATACTCTGCAACATGTGTTTCATTAATGACACAAGTCTAAATGCCAGTTTAATTGTATTTACTTGTTCTTGTGTGTTTATGAATGTCTTTACACCAGTGGTGTTTATTCTAAAGGTATGTTTAAAATGAACGTATTTAGAAATATGAAAGTTGTGATATTTTTAAAGTCGGGGATGCAGTGCATGTGTACAGGTGTGTACAGGTGTAGTAGTACAGGTGTATAGGTGTAGTAGTACACATGTACAGGTGTGTTCACCTCTCTCCTGACGTCAGGCAGCGTCAGCCACAGGGGGAGGACGATGGGCAGGATGACCAGATATGTGATCTGTTTCCTGGGGCTGTTGGGCCAGGCAAGGCTCAGAGGCTGGTCTTCATCCTCTTCTTCCTCACCCTCCTGAAAATTAATTAAATCCCATGACAGTTCATACAACGTATGCAGGTTAACACATGTCATCATGTCAAACCTTGTGGAAATCTCTAAAGCTAATCGAATGAGGAGGGATGAAGGTAAAACACACACCTGGTTTCCTCCTGCGACACCGTTCATCGGCGGTGTGACCTCCACTTCCACCTTTGAACTGTTGGGGATATTTTTTTCAACTTTAAGAAAAAGGAAAAAAAGAAAGAAAAGTGGTGATTTGGGTTTGCTTAAAAATTACAAAGAGATTTGTTCATTAATGTAACCTCATCACAAGGAAGAGATTTCAAGTAAGTCAAAAACAGATGAATCAGTCAGCTGATTATTTAATAACATTTGCAAATGATATTTAAAGCAGATGACTGTTGCTAAAAGGCTCTGAAAACTATGGAGGTTTTTTTTATTATTCAACCAAACAAAAAATAAATTTCAGTCAACAATTCTCATTCAGCAACTTGACAAAATGGTTGCTTCAGTCACTGCAACATAGTTTTTCATTTATGACACAAGTCTAAACCTCTTACATGAAAAACTGAGTTTAATGTCTATGTATTTACTTGTTCTCATGTGTTTTTAAGATTTGAAAGTCTTTACACCAGTTATGTTTATTCTAAAGGTATGTTTAAAATGAACATAGCGAGTCGATCACTTGAGCTCCACATCCCAGGGGAGGAGCCGAACCCAATGCACCTAAATGCATATTATCAGACATACAAATGATTGATAAGTGCCTTCAGGACAGTCTACACACAATGTTTGGGACTGATAACCTGTAATGAAGACCGCTCAACGTTTTGACAACATTTGAAGTTGTCTGCACTAACCAATATGGACACCTGGTTCCTCCTTTGGCCCCGCTCCGGATGTTCATGTTGTCTGAGTTCAGAACTTTTTCGATTTCAACCAAAAAAAAAGTTTCTGTTTTGCAAATATCTTTGATTTATTTATTTATTTATTTTTAATTACATTTTTGTTTGGTTGAATAATAAACAAACCAAATTACCACCATAGAAAACTTTTGAAGTGACAAAGTTTGTCAAGTGTGGGGAAAAATACTAATTCTGGAAAATGTAGTGCAAATATAAAAAACCAAGCTGCTGATCACAAAACCAAAAGAAAAGAAAAACATCCAGTTGAACTCATTATGATGTGAAATAACTGTGCACCATTGTTCAGTAATTTATGAATAATAATGATTTACTCATTCAACATTATTTGATTTTTTTCAGACAAGTAATGTCATTGGGCCTCATGCAAGAACAGGTTCGTGTTCTTATCCTAAATTTCTCTTACCTTTGTTTGTACAAAGGGTTCGTACGAACATGTCACGTCAGCTTCAACAAACTCTTCTATCTTCAGTAGGGCTGCCACAAACGATTATTTTTATAATCGATTAATCACCAATTATTTTTTCGATTAGTCGACTAATCGGATCATAYGTTAATTGAATATAAAACATATAGATTATCACGTCAGAATGCAGCTGCTATTGTATAACCATCGTTAGATTTTAGCTATATGGTAACTAAAAATAATTGCTGTCGAAGTCAAGTTCTGCTCTGCAGATATTACACAGGTTTCTCTTTCATTTTCTTATAATGATCCCACACTTTTGAGCTCCATTGTTGGGTAGCCATGATACCAGAGCCTGTCTGTATAATGTCTTGTGACGTCCACGGCCTCCCCCAGTTACCACTACTGTGCATGTGTGTCAAGGACAGAAAGGCAGATGTGGCAGTGGAAGGTGTCAAAGCAGTTTGGAGAGAAAAACAAAGTAAAGAATAAAAAAAAGAAAACTATTAATCGATTATTAAATTAGTCATCGATTATTTTAATAATCGATTAGTCGTCGATTAATCGTGGCAGCCCTAATCTTCAGGAAAAGTGTGTAAATGAGCAGAGTAAACTGATGAATGTTTACTGTCAACATAATTATGGAGTGTGATTTATTTTCAACTCGAAATATCTTCAAACTAATGAAATATAAAGTTATTAATGCATAACATCCGTCTGGATAACAGCAGACTGACAGCTCGTAAAATATACGACAGGTCTTGACCACTGAATCTAAAGAAACTGAACTGAACTCGTGAATCTAAAGAAAATCTTAGAATATGAAAACATTGGTGAATGCCACAAATTCTCCTAAATCACTCGAACGCACAACTTAAGAACAAATCTGTGTGTACGAACGGTTTTTGCATGAGGCCCAATGTGTCTGTTTTGGAAAAATAAGGCTGAGTGATAAAATACTGAAGCCCTCTGTGGTGTCCTCATGCGTCCCTGTTGAACTGTGACACTTCCTGTCAGATATGAAGAGACTGTTGGTGCAGTGAGCGCTCTCTGACACACACATCCCTGGGATGATTTTTTTTCGTCATTCTGGTGAATAGATTGTTAAAAACGTCTCGTCTTTCTTATTGTTTTTTTTTGCCATATCAGTGTCACAGTTACACACCTATGCCATTGGCACTGACTGCATCTTCTTTACATTTTTTCTTGGCCATTTTGTGCAGGATGGATGCCTTCTCTTTGAAACGTCCTGTAACAGAAGGTTTTGGTCAGACTGTAACGAGGCACTTGAGATGAGGACAAATCAAGTGAGTGAAACAAAGAAACAGTTTTTTTTTTATCCTAACCGTTTCCAAGCATGAGATAATGTGTGATGAGTGTGTCAGACCTTCATTACTGAGGGGGTCCAGTGTGTGAATCATGAGCTGGAAGATGCTGTTCCTCATCAGAGAGTTGTGCAGAGAAGCGCAGCTGCCTTCCCTCTGCAGCCTCGGTTTGGCCTGCAGAGAAAAAAAGAGCCGTATACAGTAAATATGAAAATCATTTTACCACCATTTATTCTTGTTTTCACTCATTTGTTCAGTTATTTTAACAAAATGAAATGATCGTTGGCAAAGCATTTTTCTAAATCTAACATTTGAAACATTTATGTTTGAGACGTCTATATCAGTGGTGAAGACACACAAAATGAAACTCACTGTCAGTTTGGTCTCATCGTCAGCAGGGGGGTTTACCTTCAGGAAAGAGATATAGAAAGAACATAAGAAACATGTTTCATATAACATGACACACACCAATATTAAAAAAAAAAACAAAAAAAAAAACGAAACAGAAACACTGATGAAAGTTTGATGTTTTTGTGTCTAAATAATAAAACTGCTATTTATTGCAGTGTTAATAAAGTTTATTATATATACAGGTTCGGTGTTATCTGAGAATTATTTAAAGATGTCTGGTTTGAACAACCTGCACTGAAAAAAATAACTTGTAAGATGTACTTGAAGAAATCCTCCAACAAATTTGCTCTAATGTTTGTTAAGTAAATTTAAGTTCTAAAAATTTGTGTTATATTTACTCATCATTATCTAGTAAAAGTTAAGAATATAGTTAAAGGTTTGTGAATAAATCAGGTAAATTTCACTTAATTTGCTCAATTAAATCTTGTAACACATGCTTGATCAAATTAAGTAAAATTTACCTGATTTAATCACAAATCTTTAACTATTTTTAATAACTTTTACTAGATAATGATGAGTAAATATTACATGATTTGTAGCCTTTAAATTTACTTAAACATAAGTGCAAATTGTTATGAGAATTTTTTCAAGAAAATCTTACAAGTTCTTTATAACAGTGCACATGCATCAAGCACAATATTGTAGCATTACAGCTCACAGCTACAGAGAGAGGTGGAACTCATGTTGTAGTTCAAGACTTCACCACCAGGTGGCAGGTTTGAAGAACCTTTATTGGATTCTTCTTCATGAACAACACAGACAAAGTGAAACTCACAGGTCTTATTAATGACTAGGCCTACCACTCTCACTTATGGTTACTTCTGCTGAACGCTTTAACACAAGTTAACAAATAATGAACACACAAATCAGAGTAACACAACAGACTAATTGCTGAAAGAACAATGCTAACCAATTCCCTACAATTATTTAACGACAAATATGAATCCTACCCACAATCCTCCACTGCAGTCACATGACAAACAGCCAAACACAGCAGAATGCTACAATATGCATTCCCTGTTCCCTGAAAACTAAATATCACCTACATTAGCCATCAAACTATTGCACACCAACAAATGTTTTAAGCAAAAGAAACCACACAACTTATGTTTCATTTCGACCATGTCTTAGAAGAGTAGAAGTTACTTAATATATTCATGTTTATGTGCTGTCCAGAAAAAGCACTTAAATATTACTGGTAAAATAATATTAGCATTTACTTATTTGTACAGTAATATTGATATGTAATATGATGCGTATTGTTTATTTAGTAAATTCTAGTAGCTTAGAGATTTTGATATTTTTTGTAGAATTTAAAAGAATAATTAAATAAATGTTACTACACCAAAAAATCTTTTTTTTCAGTGTGCTTCACCAGGCAAAAAGAAAAATCGTCATAAAACATGTTTAAACTTTTACAACTTTACCATAAATTAAATTATGAAAAGTCAGAGAGACAGAAAAGGATTTAAAAGCTGCTGTTATCAGTTGTCCCGTGGTCAGACAGTGATGATAAAGCAATAATACAAAGATTAAACATAAACAAAAGTATGCGGCGTAAAAGAAATAAATTATCCAAAAGTTTAATACAGCTTCAAATAAAAAAAACAACAATCTTATAACTTAAGGTTACATAAAAAATAAATCCACCTTCATTTTTTTTGTTTCAACTTTTATTTCACTACAGATGCTCAGTGGAAACATTAGTTCTTTCTTTATGTTGTCAACTTTCACTTTGTTACCTTTTCAAACCTGCAATTTAATAAAAAAACAGTTGAATTGAAAGGAAATAACTGCTAATACTGAAGGAAAAAAACTAAATGTTATTTTATACAGCTTTTTTTCAACAGGTGATCATGGAATAACATTGTTTGTTAGTGAAGCTCTTCAAGGCTCTGAGGAACAATTATAAACTGAGGATTCTGAGTTTATCAGATGTGTGAGAAAAAACCAACCAAGTGTCTAAAAGTGAAGTTTATTGATGAAAGTATTGATTGGATTTTGACATATTTATCTTAGAAATAAATAACATCCATGTGTGCTCAGTGAAGTTCATGTTTAATTTCAGCACGTCATTTAAATTAGATTCCAGAATCGATCCTTCCTCCAGCCAATAAAACAAAAATACATCATCTGCTGGTATACTAACAGAGGTAAATCTTTTTTGTATAAACTGACAACTACATTGGCACGAGATGCACAAAATAAAATAAAAATACAAAAGTAGTCTTAAGTTAGTCCTGCAATAAAGGAAAGTTTTCTCTGAACTTAGCTATATATTTGTGTGTCTAAACTGTGCATGTATGTGTGAGGGAGAATGGCTGTTTTTCTCTGTGTGTCCCTGTGATGGACATGAGACCTGTCCAGGACGTCCCCGCCCCCCTCTGACACGGTGACAGCTGGAGACCTGAACCAAATACAAAATTAACCTTAAGGACTTTCACTGCTGATGAAAAAAGGTTTGTGAAGGTTGCTTTACAGCTCCTGTCAGAAGTAAAATGGACGCAATGACAACTTTAATATTCAGCTCTGGACAAAATGAAGAGACCACTGGGTCTGAAATTCTTACTTCATGAACTTTTAGGTTGAAGCTCTTCCACCGAAAGGAAAGCCAGAGGGTTCCTGCTCAGCTTAAACACTGAACGGTTCTCACTAATCTAATCCTATATTTAATTTATATAGAATATCAAAAATCTCACCGCCTGAGACCGACAGTCCAGGTGTAGAAACACAAAGTGAAAAGAGGGAGCACATGGGGAGATGTTCAGGTGAAAGTTTGAGAAAAGGCCGAGGATAATATTTGTTTATAATTTCACACAGATGCTCACTGCATTAAAACTTGACCGCCCCCCCCCCCCAAAAAAAAATTAGAATTATAAAAAAGAGATTGAGTGCATAAAAAGTATATATTTTTTGTTGTTAATTGTTACAGTTTCAAAGCATTACCCAAAATAAATAACAAATAGTGACAAAGCTGCAACCTTTCTATCATTGTTTACAGAAAAATATTCAAACTTGACTTTAAAGGTTTTCAAATGAAAGAATTCGTCTCCAAAGCAAACGTACAAAAAATAAATGAATTTGAATGTCTAATAATTAAAATATACATATTTTAATTAATTTAAGGGTTTAAAGGAATGAAGCATCTTGTTTAGAGGAACAGACTGTACATCAGTCTGATGTTTTTTTACTCGTTCCTCTAAAAATATTGTGTTTCTTGTGAAAACAATGAGACAGCTCCTTTAATTTTAAGAAATAATTATTTTAAGGTTTATTCAGTGTTAGATTTTAGTCAAATGTTTCGAAAAACTTTGCCATTTATGCTTTTAGTGCGTGAACAGATTGCTGTAATTGTTCGTGTCTCAGATCAGTTGTCTCTGCTGATGGAAGAAAAACTGCTGCTCACATTTAAACAGGAAACATAAATAAAAACCAGTGTTGGTCTCATTCTGTCCACATCTTGTTTGTTTCAGTAATAATTGTAATGTTTTGTTGTCGATTTTAAAGGTTATGACACTTTTTTTAATCTCCCCATCATCACAGGACAAACAGCCGGATGTTCCATGATCACAAGTCTTGCAGTTTCTGGTTGCAGAAAACTTTCACATTATAAATCTTATTAAAAAGATTTCTATTTTCCTTTTTAAATGTTGCAACATTTGTAAGGAACATGCATCTGTGGCATGAGCAGTAGAGCTAAGTATGTGGGCAGAGTTGTAAAGTAACTAAGTACAAATACTTTGTTACTGTACTTAAGAAGAAATTTTGGTTATCTGTTATTTATTAATTATTTTTCAGCGTACTTTTTACTTTTACTCATAACCTTTTTTTACACAATTATCTGTACTTTCTACTCACTACATTTTTTTAAAAAAAGTAAGAAGTAGAAAGTTGTTAATCCTATTTTATTCTGAGTTGTTATTGCTTAAAAATACTATCCTGATAAATCGTGTCTCCTGGATAGAGTGAATTTAATTGTGTTTGGATGAGAAGTATAAATATATACCATAGTGACACACTATTATCTTGTACACAACCCATCACAGCTGCACGCTGTTAGAAAATATGTTTTTTGGAGAAGTCACCTCCCAATAAATGTCATTTTGGAAAATCTAACTGCTCACTTTTACTCAGTACTTTTACTTGTAATACTTAAGTAGATTTTGTGTCAGAAATTTACTTTTGATGCTTAAGTACAAAACATATCAGATACTTTAAGACTTTTACTCAAGTAATATTTTTAGAGAAGACTTTAACTTTTACCAAAGTACTTTTATGATAAGATACTTGTGCTTTTACTCAAGTATCACTTTGAGGTACTTTATACAACACTGCATGTGTGACGCGCACATCAAAAATTTGCCAAATCTTCTCTACAAACAGTGTGTTCTGCTGCTGCTGTTAACTGTTTTGAGCTTGTGGTGCTGTCAATCAGCTGCCTGCTAGAAGCTTTATTGTCAAAAAGCATTGTTACAACAAAGAAATAATCTATTAAACTCTAATTTTCTTTACTTTCTCTGATAAGTTTATAAGTTTTGCTGAGGCATTAAACACTGATGCCGACAGCTGACACAATGAAACCATCGATGACATCATAAATGCTGTAAATGTGCAGAAAGCATATAAACATTTCACTGCACTTGTTACTGACTTTCAGGGGAGCTACTGCTCAGGTTGGATGCTCTCAGAAAAAAACAAACACCCAAGTTAAAAGTGCTGACGTGGGAACATCAGATTCACACCCAGACTTCCCACTCATCCCAATTACCACCACGCCACCGAGGAGCAATCAGATCAACTTTCCCCTCTGCAGGTTTGCTCTGCGTCCCCTCCTCCTGACTGCCGAGCTGTCAGACTTATCTGAGATTACCACTTTTAGACGGCTGGTGTTTCAGGCCTGCCTGCGTGTGAACTTCTGCAGAGACCCTCGTGGGTCAGGATGCTGTCGCCCCCCCCCCCCCCCCCCCCCCCCCCCGTCAGCCAATCATCTTCTCCAC